CCAAAGGATCCACGTGTGCAAAGGGCAGTGAACGTGGCTGTTTGTACGTGCAAAGCTAGAAAAGGTGGTTTTGTCTGCTGCGTCTCTGCTGCCCCTGAAGCTTTTTTTTTTTATTCCAAGTGTATTATTCTTCTTTGGAACAATCTATGATATTTAATCCCCCTTTGCACTGGTCTCTTTGTAGTGCCAGAGTTGGGTACTGAATTCACAGACTGGAAAGCAGCTGCTGCCTTAGGATAGTTTTGGGAGAAGTGTGAGGGATGCTGCTGACCATGACCAGTTCTCACGCTGACGTCTGCTACTGGGGTATTTGTTTTTTTCCAGTCTCAGCCAGTGTCTCAGGAGATGGTCAGAGCAGAACTCCTTCCCTGGGGACTCAGGACACAGATTTCCTGCCTCAGGAGAAGGTGATGCTGGGGAAGGTGTGAGGGACTGTCACCAAAGGGGACTGGTGCCATGCACGGGCACTGCTGGGGGGAAGAAGGATGTAGGGAAGGGATGTGGGAAGCTGATGCATGCAGGTCCATGCAGTTGATGGCCACGAGTCCTGGAGCAGGTGGCCCAGTGTCTCTGTAGCCGTCAAGTGATGGACGGCACCTGTAATCTGTCCATAGGGTGAAAAACTTCTGCCACTGGAGAAGGCAATCGGTCACCTTTCTGGTTTGGGAACAGAATCCAAGCAGAAAGCTGCCGTGGTGAGAGATCTGCAGGAGGAGATCGCAGCCATGGCCAAGAGCCTGGCTCAGGCGGCGGCAAGGAACGAGGTGGAGCTGACGCAGAAGCTGCTGGCCTTCGACAGAGAGCTGGGGGACAAACGGGAGGAGATCCAAGCCTTGAGGGAACAGGTACTGAATGCATCCACAGGCACTGAGCAGGGAGAAAACCTCTGTGATACAGAGGGATTTGGAGTTGTACAGCCAGTGTTGAGGAGGAGCAGTGGCTGAAACCAAGGGAAATGAGAGAAAGTTTGGGGTTGCTTTTCTTTTTTTTTCTTCCAGTTGTTTTATTTTGCAAATTTCCTTTCTGTGCAAATTTTCCATAAGGAAGCTGGTAAATAAATATCCCACATATGTGGTAGGATGTGTAATGCTGCAGAGGGGAGG